AAAATGCGCGGTCAGGGTCAAGAGGTGGACCAAACAAAGTAAGGCATATATATATATATATAGATAACCATATAAGTAATCGAACTTCGCAATGACCTGGCAGGCTACATACCTGCCCCATGTTGGAAAAGGGGCATATACATTCCTTTGAGTACCGGTGTTGTTATGATGCTGCAACCAAAGCTCAATTTCCAGGCCTCGTAGGATTGGAGTGCACAGCGCCATTGGACAGGAGCTTGGGCCATTGCTACAGCCCTCAGATGGTCTCTCGGCACGAGGGCTGTCATAGAACTTCGGAGAGCCTCCGCAGATGCTCTTAACGACAGGAGCAACACCCTCGGTTTGCAGGCGAAATGCCTTGTGCATCTTCAAGCTCACTAGTCACTAGTCAAATCCTATTACGCCTACAGCGGAACACCCTTTGTGCCCTCGGTTTGCAGGCGGACGTGGGATCTTGGGCTTTTTGGTGGGCGCATCTCGCTCAGGAATACAAGAGGCAACTGGGGCACCGGATCTACACACGAGAAGAGTTTCTGCAAAGGCTGAAGCTGGAACGAGGAAGGGCTCTTCAACTGGAGGGTGGGACAGCTTGGAACTTTGAGGGAACGTTCGATGAAGCTCTGGGGACTGACAGGCGTCTGGCGGAGATCAAGTGAGCTTTCTCAAGTTTCAGTGAGGGAACATGGCCGTTTCCTGATCCCCAAGTGGATGTTCCAACTCTGATCACCGGACGCGAAAAAGCCCCTCGGCCCTAGTAGCGTCCGATCGCTTCTAGTATAGTAAGGCCAGGAGCCCCTAGTAGCTTCTTGTTTCCAATAGCTTCTTGCTCCTAGTAGTACGGCCAGGAGCCCCTAGTAGCGTCCTTGCTCCTAGTAGTAAGGCCAGGAGCCCCGCTCGTGAATTCTTGTTCCGTTCGTAGCGATGCCCCAAATGCTCCGTTCGTGGCGTCCTTGCCTCTGATGCGGACTCCGAGCCCGCATCGGTGCAGGAGATTTCCGTCTTCCTGAAGGGACACCTGACTTTGTGCCATTGGACACTGCTGGCGAGGTTGGGCCGCGCGGTACCTTCACACCCAGAAACCTGGCCAGACGTGAGAGGACATAGATTTGTCTCTTTGTGGGTGGTTCAGGTAGACTGACATCACACCCTTTCCCGGTTTATCCAAAGACCACTCCAAGCTTCCTGTTAGCTCTAAGTGTAAGTGTGCTGGTTGACAAAAGAAGCTAGTTGAAGTTGCTGATCTGAAACTCTCTCCCGGCTCAGCCTGCGCAGGCTTGCGACATGAACATGATCTTGTCCTTCACCGACAGATGAGTCTCTGAGCCCTATGTAGCTCACAAAGATCTAAGATGGAATCCATTGCACAAGCATTGTATGTAGAACCTCTATTTGACCCAACAAGCTGTTTCTTTGAGGCTTCTAGGCTTGCTTTGTGCTGGGTCACATGACAAGTGCAGCGTCCCAGTCGTGTCCAAGACAACGCAGCCCGACTCTGCACAAGTGGCTTGTACAGTGAAAGCCAGCAGAAAAAGCTGACGCGTCCGAAAGGTAGGGATGGTTTTTAGCCGGACTCAGGAAAGGTGCAAGTGGGTCAGTTTTGGCAGTTTTTTGTGTGCCTAGGCCAGAGAAACGCAAGTTCTACAGTCTGGGATTTTTGACCCACACAAATGCGCAATCCCAACGTTGCCGCTGTGTTGGGCCACACATTTTTCTGCCTCATGGTGGTGTTGATCTGGACTTGGAATGGATTTCCGCTGAGGTGCCTGGCGGCATGGGCAAATTGAAGTCTGGCCACGGCGATGCTGTGTGCCAGGTTTTGCACACTTTAATGGGTGAGGCAGAGCCGAAGCGCGAGTGGGACACATATTGGGGGCCAACCGACTGGCGGTCAGAGCTTTTCCCTACGGGTCAGCCTGAAGCATCACCCAGTCAGGGGGGTCGAAGAGCTACCCGAACGGGGTGGTGCTGGAGCATACCTCTCCGAACCGGTGTTGCATGTGAAAAAGTGCAGACAGTTGGACCAGAGACCCGGGAAGATGGAAGTGATTGCAAGAGAACCTGGCAAGACGGGCCTCCAAAAAAATGTATTTGCACTTCGACAAACCACTTCCTTTTCAAGAGAATGTTGGTCATCCTCCCAGACAACTACAGGGCCACTTCCATGTGATGTGTTCGTCAGAGTGTCCCTCCTTCATGAGTCGCAGGTGTTGGTTGTGAAGCGAACGACGTGAACGACACGAACGTCGAACGTGGAACACGGAACCGGTGAACACGGTGTGCCGGTGTGCCCGTTTTTGCCCAGATCTCCCAAGTCGACCACGTGGAACAGGAGTCCCGACAGCACCATTTCCTGAACTTTTGGGGGTGCACTTTTTTAGCAATCACGCTACAAACGGAGCATTTTGGGCATCGCTACGAACGGAGCATTTCGGGCATCGCTACGAACGGGGCCAAACTGGCCTTACTACTAGCAACAAGAAGCTATTAGAAACAAGGAATCTCTGATGGTAGGTTTGACTCTCAGAATGGCGGAGCGTCCAGACAACGGTTGTTGGGACCTCTGTTTGCTCCGACTTCACGAAGCGAGCTGCAGAGTTGGGATCAAAGATCATCCTGTGGAAGAACTGATGGAAGTGCTCATGATTCCCTGGATTTGGGGAATGGCTTGGCGGTCTCCATGTTGATCAGTTCCTCCAGTTCATCTTCCGCAAATGGACCGACACCCGGTGGTGTGGCACCGGTGCGCGCCGGCCACGGTGGCCAGGCCTTGCGGAGGGTCAGCTTCGAGTTCCACGCTCCGACCTATCCCGATGAGGGCATGGCGGACGAAGCGGACGTGGATAGCGACGCGGAGATCCACTCGGTGGGCGAGGAGAGATGGAGGTGGAGGTTGGCTGGGTTTAGGGAGTTTTACGCTTGATGATATTTCAACCCTCCCAGTGGACTGTAGAACCTCTCTTTAAACTTTATGCGAGGGTTTTTATGAATCAAGAGCCTACATTATGGATAGGATAGTTTGGTTTGGTTGAGTGAGAGTTGTTGGTTGGCTATTGGTTGAGTGGTGGGTCGGTGTTTTGGGTGCGTGGGTGAAAGTGGGAGTTGAGATGACTGGAGAAGCAACACTCCTTTGTCTGTATCTTTGTCTACCATTGTTGGCCAGACCTGCACCATTCTTGCAGTCCGAAAGCTGAAAGACCACCTGCCGCAACACTGCAACTTGTGGATCTTGTGAGTGTGTGTATGTATAAGTGTGTGTGTGATCCTTGCACAAGCAATCACACGCCGCCCCCACCAGTTGAGAAGTCCTGATTTTCCTACCTGAACGAACAAGGATGCTTTGGGTTCTTTCATCTCTTCCTTCCTAAAACATCTAAAACTTATTGTCTATTGGTTAGATAGAGTGACTTACTGGAGTTATGCCCGATGAGGGTTAGAGGGTTAGAGGCGTTCCCAGCGCTGGATCTCTGTTTTGAGAGCGCAGAGAAGCAGAGAAGCAGAAAGTACTGGTGTTCGTTTCGATTCGCCTTGGCCGGTGGTGCTTGGCCTTGGCAGTTGGCTTCGTTTCGACATCACCGACTCGGCCATCGGCCCGAAGCCCCGTCAGGACGAGATGCCTGGTGATGGTGAGGAGGATGACCTCATGTACCAGGAGACATGAAAGACATGAAAGACAGCAAACTGGTAGGGGGAGAAGATGGGAGAAGGGGAGATCATGGACCGCATCGGAGTTTGGGAGAAAGGGAAAAGAAAAAACCGATTGGGGTGACGTGAATGGCAGATTTTGCTGGAAGCCTTGGCGGGCTAGGGAGGACAACTTTCTCTGTGGTGTGCCTTGTTGAAAAAAATGATACCAGGCAGACGTTTTGACGTTTTTCATCCCTTTTTCCTTTTTCCTAACCTATCCTGCATATTACAAGGGAAGAGAATTTGAAGAGAAGCTTCCTTCTTATTGGCCCCAATATATAGATCCAACTGTCTACCGCTTTCAGGAGGATGCGCCAAAGCCACCTGAGGATGATGAGAACGATCATCAGGCGCCCAGGGTCCACTGCAGGGACCTTCCGGGACCACCCAGTGAAACCTTGGTGGTTAGGTCCTTGAGATGAGCGTCACCAACAAGATCAAACACGAAGTTTTTCAGGGAGGAGATGAGCAAGCGAGCCAACATGTGGGCCAACATGTACCCTCCCTGGCCAATTCAGTTGGCTCGTCTTTCCTTTCCCGTCCACGAGGGCCCCGGTTGTAGCAGAGGGCTCTGAAGCTTCCATGTCTGGTGGAATGGGAGCGCTCCCATTTTCAGTCGAGAGAGAAGGGCCACAGCACAAATCAAGTCGTACAAGTCCCAGACAGGAGGTTTTTTCTGCACTTCCGGGGACGCTGCTGGACCCTCCCCAACCAACCATGAAGAATCCTCTTCTTCTCTTCTCCCCCACCTGGAACTTCGCTTCGCTTCGAGGCTTCGAATTTGATTTGATCCCAAAAGCCGAAGACGGCGACCATCGGGCCATGACCGTGGCGCCCATCGGTTTGGGATCAGCCCGTGGTGGGACCCGTCCTCGGCTCCGCTGATAGCGTCCGTCCGGAGCGTCGAACTCGCCGGTCACTCGGCCTCCAGGTGCTCCAAGCCAACGTGGACCCCAAGGAGTGGCTCTTGGAGGCACCGGGACTTCGCAGGACTGCGCCGGGAATGCGTGCGCTTAAAGCTGCGCACGCGAAAAGAGGAGAAGCAGAGCAGCAAAAAGGAGCAGTGGGGCCGGAGGACTCGTCGAAGTAGTTCGTTTTGGGGACTGTGTTGTTTGGGTATATGTGTTGCAAACAAATAGAGGGGACTTCTTGACGAAAGGGTGAGGGATATTCCCTTTTTTTAGTTCCGTTGGCCACTACTTCGAGCTGATGCCCCCTCCTGGAACTGGGCATGGCCGTTTTGCTGCGCCAGGTGGAGCGGGTCTCGTCCCGGCTGAAAGTGCAGATGCCCAACGACTCAAAGGAGTGGAGGCATCGCCCGATTCGTGGAGTCAGCCAGTAGAGAGAGGAGTATGAGATGAGTGGAGAGGGGAGGGGAGGAGAGGGGAGAGGACAGGACAGTGGTCTGGTCATTTTCTTCAGAGATGGATAGCATAGGACTGGGAGAGTGATATCATACTTACTCAACAGTCTTAAATGTGTTTGCAGAGATCTGGTGTTGAGTCGAAGTAGTTCTCGCTGGTGGTACTTGTAGAGTTGAATCATATGTTGCACTTCTTGTCGACACTGAACTCCGCAGCAGGGATTCACCTCTCAAGTCAAGCAATCCAAGCAATATGCACTTGCGGGACATGTCTTGAGTCTTTACAATGGCAATGCATTAGACTTAGATTTGCCTCTATAAAGGTTAAGTATGGTTAAGTCACGTCTTCTTTTTTGGACTTTCCCAAGAACCAACCGAAGAGACGGCCAGGACGCATTTGCAGCAGACCAAGCAGTACAAGCAGGCGAGACGGCCGCGACGCGCCGAGCGGGGTTCGGAAGGGACGAGCTGAGCTGTCTCAGACGCTGAGCGAAACATCACCCTGGAGGAGTTGATGGGGAGAACTGGCCATGAAGATGCATTGAAAGCCTTGAACGGTCCATTTGCATCCATTTGCAGGGCAGTAAAGCTGCATTTCATGGATATCTACAAAAAGCACGTCAGCTGAAGCCCTGTTTATTTAGCCTCTGCTTTGTGAAACCGCTGCTTACCGACGTGGGAATCCACTGCATTTGAACCAGTTGTTAGCACCAAGAGGATGGACCCGGATTTGCCATCCAGGCGACTGATTGGTAGATCGTCTGCCGCATGCCGCATGCCTCCACGTCCTGACACAGCGGAACCCACGTCCTTTTTGTGTTTCGCCGCATGGCAACCGGAGCATTTGGATGAATCGTTGCGGGTTGGTGCATGAATCCCGTGCGGGTCTTTCTGTGGTGCTTTTCGGTGCAGCTGCTTTTCCCACGGCGTTTCGCTCAGGTGATCGAGAACCAGTTTCCAGCATCCAAGGTCGACCCGCCGACGAGTCGTTCGGGTTTGAAGAGTATGAAGCGAGGTCTGGAGTTTTGTTTAACAAGAAGACAAACGGAGCTTTTGTTTAACATTTCGTTCAGGGCCCTGTTTTCAGGCAAGTCATATTTTAGTTTCCTATGGTGGAGAGATTTTGGATCGTAGCCCACAAGTGAGATAGTTTTAGTAGGGGAGACTCGTTTTCTGTCGCATCTGGAGGTGAAAGGATGCACTGGACACCGCAGGATTTCTTCCATCAAAAGCAATTGCTACTATGTATCATCAAAATCCTCACCATGAATAGAATGCGAGAAGTCCTTTGCTTGGGTACGGAAATCTATGATTCCTGCATACATCACTTGAAGCTGAGCAAGAACATACGGTATGTCTCCCCTCCCAAAACGACTCAGTGTCTGCGGCTTTTGCTCTTCAGTGTCCAGGTGCAGCTGGATAAGCTGGTGGCGCAGCTGAGCCAAGCCATGGATCGGATCAAATCCAAAGAGGCCGCATGGCCTGCTGCGAGGGGCGGAGCGTCTTCGGCCGAAGCAGCGCGACCATGGACCGACGGTCTCATCCACCAATCGAACGGACTTCGCACCGATGTGACCAGGCGTTTATCAACACTCAGTTCGACCACCGAGCTGTGGATTATCGACAGCAGCAAGAGGAGCTGACTCAGGCCGCCCCGTCGAGACATGAGGGTCTTTGTCCCATGGCCGGTTCCGCAGAGCGGGCACTTTGCACTTCCAAACAATGGTGTATTTTTTGTTATATATATATATACCCTATATATAGACTATATATGTAAAGTATTGTAAACTTATATAGAACATGGTGCCATCCCCAAATCTTTGCCAGACATGATCAGTCTGGCCCCAATCTTTTCCCTTTTTTGCCGGAGGAAACGACGCGAAACACAAGACACATAGCAGCACCACCAACATGTACTTGTTTTTTGTCTGATGAATGCTGGGTCTCTGCTTGTAATTCCTGTGTTTCTTGACCATAGATTGCCATAGACCTACAGAGTGTCTTTTGTCTACGAGCAACTCTTGATGCTTGTTGAGTCTTTAACCTCTGACCTTGGATCATTTCCTCAGGACCGATTTTCCCTCAGAAAAACCATCAACTGTAACAGAACTTGACCTAGGTGTCCGCCAAAGCCTACATTTTAACATGTTTTGAGGTCATCCTCGAGCAGATTCGACAGGAAAGAACCATTTTTTTGCGGTTGTTTTGGATCGCTCTATCTGTCATCTTCTACTTGCGGAGGTCTCTACATGGCCAAACGATCCATGTCAAGACCAGGAGACCTTGCTTGACCTACCAACCATAAGGTCAAACCAAGAGGAGAGCGCGTGAAGGGGCTCCAGGTGTCAAAACCACCCCATCCCTAAATGATATAAGGCTATCATAGGCTATCCACCGTTGAAATCGATGCCGAGTTCATTCTCATACGTGTTTGTTTCGCAGGTCCAGCAGCAGTACACCGAGCTCAATGAAGTGGCTCCTTGGTGCGATACGACGACGATGACGACCGGCGATGTTGGGATTTCGGCTTCCGGGAGATCGGGGAGACCGAGCAAAGAGTTCGGGCACCGCTTGCGGGTGGGGTCGAAACGGAACGGGCCTATAAGGGTTGAAGGAGGTGTCGGGGGTTTAGGGGTTAAGGAGTTTAGGGTTTGCCGTCCGGGGCATGGCCAAACCCTAAGGGTTTGAAGCGGGGGTTCAGGAGTTTAGGGTTTGGCGCCCTCCGATCCTCGGCCGGGGGTAAGTGCGCCCGGTTGGTGCGGGTAGACTCCCTCATCCAGGTGATGAAAGAGCGGGTTGGGCGTTTTGGTTTTCTTCCGGTCGCACAAGGGTGACCGACTCCGTTTCGAGGCTTTCATCATCGTGATGAACGAGATAGACACGTGTTCCGCCCAAAAAGTCAAGGGGCCCTTATGTTTTTCATCTTCTCGATGTGGGGTCATCCCCAAACAGCCCAAGATTCGCAAGGTGGTGAATCATGACTCTTGACCTCATAGTCAGCGGAGAAAAAACCATGGGACACTTGTTCATGGCGATTCTCGCTGCATGAATATTGTTGGGATGGGGCCTTTTGGGCGGGATTGGGAGATGTGGGCAAAGGTCATGAACTTGCAGATTGAGCTTAAAAATGTGAGTGAAGAGCTCGATGTGGTGAAAAACGAGATGGAGGAGACAGGGCTTGAGCTTCAAAAAAGAGGCATCCGAGCATTGCATGATCTCAAATTCTGTCGGTTGGCACGCGGCTTCCTGTCAATGACGCACAGGTGAATGTCACGCAAGTGCTAGATCTGACTTGGCTTGAATGCACCCTACTGGTCACTGGTCCTCTTTCTTGAATGAACACTTCCCCAACAAAACCATGGCCTTCGTCTTCGGTTCAAGACCATTCCCGTGTGCCTTTCACCCGGCCGGCAACGATCCTTTGGCTGACCGAAACTGCTCTGTTGCATATTTTGAAAACAAACACTGTGGAGTGTGGTCACATTACCAGAACCCATGGGAGTTGGAGGGTTTTCACCTCTTTTTGGGGCTATTGATAGACATCCCAAACAGCGTGTCCTGGCTCCCAGGCTCGAAAAAGACCGGTGCTTAAGGCTGGGTTTGATCAACCCCCACGGTGAGTCGTCCAGGAGAAGTCCTCTACGGTGACCGACACCACCCCGATCGTCAAGATGAAGGTGGGCTGTCACCCGGCCGGTGACGCACCACGGCCGGTGACCACCGGTCTCGGGGGTCAAAGCGGCAGGGGTCAAAGCCGGCGACGGGACCCATGGTTTGCATGGTCTGCGACATCTCCCGACGTCGTGATGTGTCTGGACATCGAGGTCTCGATGTCGTCGCCGCGTCGTGTGTCTGGTTCATCGAACTGGCAGGAGGTCTACGAGCCTGGAAGATGGCCCACCTCGTCCGACGGTGACGCCGTTCGATGTGTCTCGAAGTCGACTCTTCCGGACGGCCAGGATGCCTTCAAACGACTCAGGGCGGACACGCGGCAGCTGGAGGCCGGAGTATAGGGATGGAAGCGGTTGGTAGGGACTCACAAGCCTGGCAATCACCTTTCATGCAGGTGGCCTTGCGCAAGTGGATGACCATCATGCTTATAATTGCTTATATAATTCGTGACGTTCTATTCTATGGTAGTAGTGTTGTGTTTGTTGATCCGTTTCGGAGACACGGCAGCAGACCAAAGAGCAGCGGTTGAGCCGCTTTTCCTTCACTAAAGCCGCTTGAGGTGCGAATTGGTGTGGTGAGCCACACTCTGATGCAGGTGCGCGACAGGAAGCTTTGCTTATGTGGACGGTCGTCGAAAGAAACGGATCCAATCCAAGAGTATCGTGGATGGTTTTTGAGGTCGCCCGTGGTCCTTGGTCCTTTTCATTGGGTTTTGGGGTCAGCTATTGTCCGGATCTTGCTGACCTAGTCAAGACTCTCATGTAGGACGAAGACAGTTAGACGCTCACAGGCCTTGGTGAGCTCCTCAGCTCCTAATGTCAATCCGCATCGACTGAGTTCTTTCAGGAAGTTGACCATTCTACAAGCCACGGCTGATTTTCGTCGAGCTTTTGGTAGATTCGACCAGTCTCCGAAGACCAATTCTGGGCTGCCAAACACGGAAGACTCACAGGAAAGAACTCATCCATCTTGGCACAGGATGCCGTCCATCAATAGTCGATTCAAATAGTGAGACCTGCCAAAGACCCCGTGGAAGAAGGAATATATGACATATGACATATGTACAAACGCCCCCAGTTTTTAAGATGCACACTGAGGTTTTTGTCCTGTAGTGTTTCGGCTTAAGTCGTGGCCACGGTGCATGTCCTGCACTGGCTGTCACTTCTGGACAGGGAAGCCAACCAGCTGTCCTAGTTGCCGGACTCTTTGCCGCATCCAGAACCTGTTCCGGGCTGGCGGCTTTCTACGTGGGCAGGAGGAAGCGGTGATCCAGATCCTTCGTTCCGCGAGTGGTGCTATTGAGGATTTGTCGGAACTGGCGATACCCGCCCTCAAGAAGGAGAAGTTGGAATCGAATCCTCCGGGGTTCGACAATTCGGAGCAAGGGGGATCATCCTCAGCCCCGTCAGGCTCTGGTTGCGGGAAGCCATCAGAGGCTCCTGTTGCACCTGTTGAGCAGAAGGTGGACGAGGAGGAGAAGTCGGAGCCGGACAAGCCGCCTGGTGACTTTGGAGTGCGTGCAAAGGAGGAGCACACCGAAGAGAAGGACCCAGTCGAGTTAGTGAAGGCTGAGTCTCAGGACGTGGAGATTGAAGGAGTTGAAGGAGTCAAGAAGAAGAAACGGAGGAAGAAGCACGTGAGTGGAACCTCCACGAAGCGTGAGAAGAAGAGGACAAGGAGGCCCGAGAAGCCTGCTGAGGAGGAACGCGGTGCTGGGAGCACTGGAGCAACTCTTCAAGATCCAACTGCCACCACCGAGGAGAAGGACCAGTTGGTTGCAGAGCAGCCCCAGAAGTGTGAGTTGAAGCCGGCTCCCAAGGGGAGCGTTGCAAAGCACTTTAAGCATTGCGACCTTCCACCACCGCCACCGGCGCCCAAGCGCCCGAGAAGCCCAGACTATCCACCGCCAGATCACCGAGACCGTCGTGAGCAGCGTGGACAGCAGAGGCATTGGCGTGAGAGGTCACGATCCCTTGCACGAGCTCCGCAGCGGAAGCGAGGCACAAAGGGGGTCAAGCATCGTGAGCGGGGCCGTTACTGGCCCTACCAGAGAAGGTAGAAGCCATGGCTCCAAAAGCAAAGGTGAGGGCAAAGGCGAAAGCCAAAGCACTGGCCAAGGCAAAGGCAGGTGCTATGAGAAGGTTGGGCGCTATGCGAGTTCATCCTCGAGGAGCTGCAAGGAGGCCAGCCGCAGCCCCATTCGTCGGAGGAGCTCCTGGGCCGCGGGAGCTGTGGCGAGCAGGTCAGTTGTTGAAGGCAAGCGACATCCCCGTGGACGAGTTGGCCAAGGGCATCGAGGTGATTGCAGAGGAGGTGAGCTACTTTGGCGCCCCAGGTCGAGTAGCCGGAGTGATCACGGGGTTGGAGGTGGAGAGAGATGCCACCCACGTTTTGCTTCGGGCCACTGGGACCGATTCGGAGACGTTGCTTCGCCAGTGCAGTGGCCATCCCAAAGGGGTTCTCCGACTCCATCTTTGCCCCGAAGGCTGTGCCGGGGATCGCGTGTCCGAGAACCTGGTTCACGGGCTCAAGCACGACAGAGCACATGGTGGGGATCGCAAGGCTTCAAAGGAGAGCCATCGAGGGTCCAAGGACAAGAAGAAAGAGAAGAAGAGAGGTCGAAGCCCCAAAAAGAAGAAGAAGGAGAAGAGGTCGCGCGATCGCTCAAGAAGTCGGAGGAAGAAGGCAAAGGAAGAGCGGCCCAAGAAGGAGGTTGTGGAGAAGGACAGCAGCAGCAGCTCGAGCTCGGGCATTCGCTTGGATGGTCGGAGGCTGCGTGGGGCCTCTGTCAAATCCCCTCAGGCTCTCTTTGCGGGAACGGGGTTGGGCTTCAAGGACAAGGTGCGTCGCCGAGTTGCTCGCCGGGCCAAGCGGTTGTTTCGGCGGAAAAAGACAGATGGGAGCGGGAGCACCGGCAGCCGGAGCTCCTCGGGCAGCAAAGAGGAGGACTTCGACCAGGACGAAGGGTTCTTCGGCGGAGAACTGCCCAGGAGCGTTGGCGGCTCGCTCTTTGACATCGATGCGCAAGGCATTGTTGGAGAGTTCCGGCCTGGAGGACCACTCGAACATTCTCAGTCCCACCGCCATGAAGTACTTCAGGCAGGAACTACAACGGAAAACAAGTGGCCCAGTTGGACGAGAGCTGATGACGCTCTCGAGCTCCGTCGATCTTCTTCTTCGAGGTCGAGTTGCACAAGCGGTCGACGTCATGCTCCAGAGAGTCAAGTCGGTGGAGGCGACAATCGCCGGCTCCCACTGGTCTGTATCCCAACGTCTCGAGATACCGCCCCTCGACGCCCAGTTGATAGCTCCAAGAGAGGAGATCATTACAGCGCAAAAAGCAGCTGCAATCGACGCTCGATCCAAGTTCCTGGCATCACAGCCGGATGGGCGTGGGAAGTCAGAAGGAGGCGGCAAGAGCAAGGAGCAGGGATATCAGGAGTGGAGGACCGACCGCGACAAGGGGAAGAGCAAGGGCTCTGGCCGCAAGGGGAAGGACTTCAAGAAGACCGATTGATGATGGGTGACTATGAAGGCACTGAGGTGGCCGATGACCACTTTGGTCCGGTGCCGTTGGAGAGAGAGTTTGAAGAGATGTTACAGCCAGCTGGGGGTGTAGTGCCTCAGGCTGATGAGATGGCCCCGTCGGCCGTCTAATTTCCACCAGCTTTCCGCCTCAGCCACCGGCCTTTGAAGGATCCATGGTGGGAGGTGTAGCATCCGCAGAGCAGAGACCGCACGCGGAAAAAAGTACGCCTGGATTTCGATTCTCGGACGAGTCGGTTTCAGGGATGGGTTCATTTTTAGTGCAGCGGCTTTTGGAGGTGTTACCACTTCGCAGCAAGCTCACGGGTAGGGACTCGACTTCCGCCATGTTGCCCCTACCTACCTCCAAGGATGTCCTTTTGCACTTGTGGCCCGAAACCCCGGAGGTTATTCTCATGTGGGTCCTTGCCGTCTGTCTGTCGCTGAACTCAATTTGGGGAGGTTCACTTCACTCAGATAAACAACCCAGGTGCAGTGCGAGGCCTTGAACTTCATTCGAAGAGACGTGGAACGGTTTTGTCAGCTTGACCTCAAGATGGTGGGCATTGATTGGAGGCAGTTCTTCTCGGTAAGAGGTGTAGATTACAAGGGCGATGAAGTCCGGTTGCAAAGCGGGTCGCCTGGCCCAACATTGCACCTGCTCTTCCAAAGGAGATTGGTGTTGTCCCCCTTGAGGAGGTGTGCACTCTTGGTTGTCGTAAGTATGTGTGCTCTTTCGATAGCTTCCTCAAGCCCCGGGAGCAATGGGGAAAGATCACGCAACCCAAGGTAATGGTAGACGACCATGACTGGCCGCAGTTGGTTTCAGGACTTGTCGAAGCTGGAGTTTGCACGCCCATTGAGGAGGAGATGGTGTTCCATAGCGGGGAGGCGCCTTTGCTGAACGGAATGTTTGGGGTCTCGAAGGAGGAGTGGACTCCTGACGGAACTGAGATTTGTCGACTCATCATGAACCTCATCCCTCTCAACGCAATCTGTGAACCAGTTTCTGGAGATGTTGACACGCTACCTTCATGGGGAATGATGAACCCTTTCTTCCTCCAGCCGGGGGAGAATCTCCTGGTTTCATCTGAAGATGTGAAGTGTTTTTTCTATACCATGAAGGTACCAACTGAGTGGGTTAAGTTCCTCGCCTTCAACAAGTTGGTTCCAGACGTGTGCTTGCCCCAGCACATGAAAGGACAGTCGGTCTACCTTGCTTCTAGAGTTTTACCCATGGGGTTTTTGAACTCGGTCAGCCTTGCCCAGAATGTGCATCGCAATCTGGTCCAGTGGTCTTTGCATGAGGGTACAGTTGTTCACGCGGAGTCGGCGGAGTTGCGGAAGGATCGTTCTTTCACTGTGGCTGACCCGGCATGGCGGGTAAACCTTGACAACTATGATCTGCTGGAAAAGGTTCGTAGCGCTGGTATGTGTGAACTGGAGGGTACTGCCTCCCATTGCGTCTTGGCGTTGCGGGAGGAGTATGCAAGGTGGCAGGTCCCGAGGAACGAGAAGAAGTCGGTGCAGCGGTCCATGCACTGTGAGTTGCAAGGGGCTACCATTGATGGGGAGATAGGCGTTGCTTTTCCCAAGGAGGCCAAACTTGGCAAGTATTTCAGCATGGCGCTCAAGCTTGTACAGCAGCCGGTGGTCAGCCAGAAGCAGGTGCAGGTTGTTTGTGGAGGCCTGGTGTACTTTGCAATGTTCCAGCGCCCAACCTTGGGCAGTCTTAACGCTGTGTGGCAGTTGATCGAAAGCTTCAACCTTGAGGGACCACAGTACCGACCCATGCCCGATGAGTGTCGCTTGGAGATCGTGAGGTTCCTTGGTTTGCTTCCTCTCATTAGGCTGAACTTCCGGTTGGACGTGGACAGGATTGTAACTTGCAGTGACGCCTCCATGACAGGTGGTGGTGTCTGCTGTTCTCAGGGGCTGACTGCGGTAGGGCACCTAGCAGCCAAAGGGGAACTACGGGGGCGCCTTCCAAGCACAGGTGCGGAGCACTCGGTGCTCTTGATTGGGCTCTTCGACGGGATCGGAGCCCTGCGTGTTGCTATGGACCTGCAGGACACCTCAGTGTTGGGGTACATATCAGTTGAGAGCAATCCCGCAGCACGTCGTGTCGTCGAGTCGCACTACCCTGGTGTTGAGCACGTGGAGGACATCGCCATGGTCACGCCGGAGTTGATCAGGTCGTGGAGCCTGAAGTACTCCCAGGCCAGCTTGGTGCTAGCGGGAGCTGGTCCCCCTTGTCAGGGAGTATCAGGACTCAACTCTGACCGTCGTGGTGCATTGAAAGATGAGCGATCTTGTTTGTTCGTACATGTCGCTAGGATCAGGGATGAGCTGCGTGGTCACTTCACCTGGTCGCCAGTACATGTTCTCATGGAAAATGTAAGTTCTATGGATAGGGCGGATCGCGACATCATGAGTCAGAGCTTCGGAGACGAGCCCGTTTGCATTGATGCAGGGGGGATGACATGGTGTCATCGACCTCGTTTGTATTGGACAACGTGGGAGTTGCAAGAAGCTATCGGAGCCACATGTGACAAGGACAGCTGCCCACGTACCTGGCATCTGTCGGCGTCACAGGAGATTGGAGAAGTGTTGACCCCGGGCTGGAGCAAGGCTGCTCCTGATAAGCCTTTCCCCACATTTACTACATCACGGCCATCGACGGTACCTGGACGCAAGCCAGCAGGGCTAGGGCAATGTCGGGAGCATGAGGTGTCACGGTGGCAAGCTGACCTACATCGGTTCCCGCCTTACCAATACCAGGACGTCCACACCGTGGTCAACAGGAAAGGTGAGCGTCGTTTGCCTTGCATCCGTGAGCGGGAGCTCATGATGGGGTTCCCTCTCAATTATACTGCCAACTGCGCCCCGAAGGCTGAACGCAAGCAGGTCACGACAGTGGACACACGGCTTACATTGATTGGCAATAGCTGGAATGTGCCTGTCGTTGCATGGCTGATTAATCAGCTCCTGCACCCCTTAGGATTTGCTCCCTCACTTGGACCTCAGGAGAAAGTGGAGCGATGTCGGCCGGGAGCTGCAGCCTCGATCCAAACCCGTTTGACCAGGTTGCCAAGTCGACTACCTCGTGGGCGCTTCGGATCGGAATTGTGTTTGGCACGTAAGCTCAGCAACCTCATTAGCATGAAGGGGGAAGATATCCTGCTCAGCACGCCGTCAACTCAGCTTGCCCGTTACCATCGTTTGCGTGCCTCAGTGCCAGCATCACTTTGGAAGTGGAAAGTTGTTAGTGGTTGGCGGTGGACGCGTGGCAAGGAGCACATTAACTGCCTTGAGATGCGAGCAATCCTCAATGCCCTACGTTGGCGCCTCGAGCATCAGCAACACCTAGGATGTCGCATGGTGCATCTGACAGTAGCTTGGTATGTTTGCATGCCCTCACCAGGGGGCGGACCAGTTCTCGGAAACTCCGATCCACTATTTCACGGATTAACGCTCTTCTGCTGTGTGGCAATGCCCAGATGATCTGGGCTTATGTAGCTACAGATAGCAACCCCGCCGATAAGCCCTCGCGTTGGGGAAGGCGGATCCGCACCAAGTACCGGAATGCCTAAGCGCATTCTTGAAGCAGCTACACCAGAGGAGCGTGGAAAAGTGAGAAGAGGATTGGGAACTTTAAGAGAACTGACAGTACAACCAAGCACTCGTAAGCGCTATGACAAGGCGCTCCAGCAAATTTTTGCATTCCTCAAGCATGAAGGACTTGACCCTCCGACGAGTCGAGCCAGAATGGACCCCATTTTTTGTGACTATTTGGAAGAGCTCTGGGCCACTGGAAAAGGCCGCGCGCAGGCCTGTGATACGCTCGCTGGACTGCAAGACAGCCAACCCAGCCTTAGGCATCATTTGCCGGGAGCTTGGAGGCTCCTGCGTACACGCAAGCAAATGAGATACCGTCTCGGGCGCCTCCACTGCCTGAACATATTGTTTGGGCTATGGCAGGCTGGGCACTTTTCCACCAGTGGACCTCTTTCGCGCTTTCCCTTTTAATTGGATTTTATTCAATGTTGAGGACAGGAGAAATCCTAGGATTGAAGTCCTCTCACATCCAATGTGGCGATGGCCAACTGCAAGCGCTCATTTCATTAGGCCTCACAAAGGGAGGCAAGAGACATGGCGCCGCAGAGAGCGTTGTCCTTGGCTATGAGCCTGTTGTGAAGTTCTTACGTGCCTGGAAGGCCTTTTGTTCTCCCGCTACCTCCCTAACCCCTTCTCCAGCCAAATGGCGAGCCCTATTTAATTCTTGCCTCGAACGACTGGGGAAAGGGCAAGAAGAAGTCCATGAAAGCCAGGAAAAAATGAGGAGT